GGTGGTGCTGGGTGATGTTTCCCCAGGGTGATTGCTGGTCACTTCATGGACCAAGTGCTTCTCACAGATGGCTTTGGTGGTGTTTTCATTCAGGTGTACATAGTCAGCCTCTGACAAGTGTCTTTTTGTGAATTGTTGTATCCTCTCCAGCTCTTTTTGTGATGATGTGTCATCAGGTACTCTGCTGTGAGAACGCCTGGACAGTCCGTCCGCGTCTTGATTCTGCTTACCGGCTCTGTACTGTAGCTGGAAGTCGAACGTCGACAGAGCGGCCAACCATCTGTAGCTCGTGGCGTCGAGCTTGGCAGAGGTAAGAATGTATGTTAATGGATTGCTATCTGTGACAGCAAGGAATGTGTTCCCGTACAGGTAATCCTGAAATTTCTCCGTTACTGCCCACTTAAGGGCAAGAAATTCTAATTTATGCGCAGGATATCTGGACTCACATTTCGACAGACCTCGGCTCGCATAAGCAACAACGCGCTTCTGTCCCTGTTGCTCCTGGTAGAGGGCAGCACCAAGGCCCGAGGTGCTCGCATCTGTATGTAACATGTAGGAGAGCTTAGGGTCAGCAAACCCAAGGATGGGTGCGGTCGTCAGCTTTTCGATTGTGGTGTCGAACGCTGTTTGGCAAGCAGACGTCCATCTGTCACCAAAGGAGTCCTTTGGGTTGAAGTACTTCTCAGGGTTCACTGTGGTTTTAGCATGCTTTCTCAGCGGCGGGTAGCCAGCGGTGAGCTCGTTGAGCGGCTTCACAATCTTTCAGTAGTCTTTAACGAACCGGCGGTAGTAACCACAGAAACCCAGGAAAGTTCTTAGCTCCTTCAAGTTGTTTGGTTTTGGCCAGGTTTTTAATGCTGCTACTTTGTCAGGATCGGTTTCTACGCCTTTTTCAGACACGATGTGGCCGAGGTACTTTACAGAGGTTTGGAAGAACTTGCATTTCCCTGGCCACAGTTTCAAGCCAAACTCTTTCAATTGGTTGAGCACGCGCATCAACCTTTCCTCGTGCTCCTCCAGTGTCGAGGAGAAGATGATGAGGTCATCCAGAAAAACTAGGGCTTGCTTCAAGTTCAGCTCTCCCATACAGCGCTCCATAAGCCTCTGGAACGTGCTAGGGGCATTGGTTATTCCCTGAGGCATCCTGTTGAACTCGAAGAATCCTAGAGGGCAGACGAATGCAGTTTTGTGTTTGTCTGCTTCCTCCATCTCTATCTGATAGTAGCCTGATTTGAGATCAAGCACCGAGAACCAACTGGACCCGGTCAATGCCGAAAAGGACTCTTCCAGATTAGGTAAGGCATATGAATCCTTTACTGTTTGTGTGTTCAACTTTCTGTAATCTATGCAGAGTCTGCCGTCGCCATTCTTTTTCCGGACGACTACGATCGGCGACGAGAAAGGTGACTCTGATTCACGGATAACTTCTGCATCGAGGAGTTGCTGGAGATGGGCCCGCACAGCCTCTATGTCCTGGGGATGTATAGGTCTTGACCTATGTTTGAATGGCGTCTCGTCACTGAGTGTTATGTGGTGTTTGATTCTGTCAGTGCGGCCAAAGTCAAGGTCGTGCAGTGCAAACACCTCCGGCATGGAACTCAATTTTTCTGTTATCCTCTCTTTCCATTCGTTGGGTACAGGAGAGTCAGTAAAGTCAAAGTCAAGATTTGGTTTTTGGTCAGGTTTTGTGGGGGAGTCTGAATCAGGGGTCTTGACAGGTTGAACACTCTTGACAGCGTGTATCTCTGCTATGACGGCCTTGGGAGACAGGGTGATGTCATGGTGTGACTCGTTCTTGAGTATGACTGGTATGCAACGTGGTAGCTTTGGTGGTAGACTTGCCAGGCTATCTGTCACCAGGATGCCACCAGGCAGGGACGATGACTTTGGTGACTCTACCATCACCCACTTTCCAACATCAGGTGTTCTGCAGCTCACTGATCCTTCAAGGACTTTGGTCTGTCCAGCTGAAATGGTCTCAAAGTCTCTACTATGAAGCCTTACTTCTCCCAGGCTGGAATCAACGGACTGTCTTTTCCGGATTTCAAGGGTCTTTAAGACGACTTTGTAGCCATAAGGAAGAGACTCATAGCTCTGAGGTGCCATCTCCGCATACTTTTCATAGAGGACATCCAAAGTATTTGTGCCTATAAGCACTGATGACAAGGTGGAGCGCATGTCAGGGACAACCAAGACCAGGGTAGGTACCTCGATGTCGGCTCCAAGCATGCTCTCTGGAAATCTGATGGTGGCCTCAACATAGCCAAGGTATGGAACGCTTTGACCGTTGGCTCCTTCCACTTCAAGCAGGTCGTTCAAAGAATTGAGAGGTAAGTGAGACAGGTTCTCTAGATAGAAAGAGTTGGGGATCGTTGTTACTTGAGAGCCTGAATCCAACAAGCAACTGCAGTCTTTGTCAGCAATAGTCACTTGTGCGGTGCACTTGGCTCCAATCAGACCTTTTGGCAGGGTCACTGACTGTCTCTGTGTGTGAGAGTACACAGGGGCTCTGTGCAGCTTCTTTTTGGGACACTTTGTCTGTGTTCCAGTCCCCGTTTGTCCCACAACCGGAACTGGGTCTAGTATAAAGGATCAGGACTTGAAGCGCCATGTTGACTGTCCCATGCTAACTGCTTTTCTTTTAGCTGCTTCCTCTTCTCAGCTACAAGAGATGGGTTCGGCTCACTTTCACACTGAGGCCTGATGTGCCCGTCCTCTCCACATCTAAAGCAATACCAAGGCCTTGGTCTATTGCTTGTGTTGCTGTTTACATCTCGGCTGTGGGGCTGCAGCCTTTGAGATGTGTGAGTGATAGCTGGGGGATGTGTGCTAGCTGTTTGGGGAGCTAGTGGTCTGGCAGCCGATTTAG